TGACGGTGGGGGTGAGTTCATCAATCATACTCTCTCCACTTACTGCAAAACATACGGCATTCAGCAGACCACCACCCTTCCCCACTCCCCTCAGCAAAACGGCATCGCTGAGAGTCGCATCCGTGAGATCACCAAGATTGCGCGCTGCCTCATTGCTCACGCCTCCACCCCTCCCTCCCTCTGGAGCTATGCCCTCATTCATGCCGCCCTCCTCCTCAATCTCCGCTCCCACCCTCAGCATCCCTCCTCCTCCCCCACAGAACTCTGGTCCAAGGCCAAGCCTGACGCCGCAGGCCTTCGTGTTTGGGGCTGCAAGGCGTTCGTCCTCATTCCACCGGCCGACCGCTCCCGCGCTGCTGGCAAGCTCGCTCCTCGCGCTCTGGAGTGCGTCTACCTTGGGCACAATCGTGATTCCCCAGGCTACCTATTCCTCCACCCTCCCACCAATCGCCTCATCCGCAGCATTGACGTCGTCTTCGACGAGTCCACTCCCTACTACTCCACCCCTCCTCCTGACCCCCTCCCTCCTCCCACTCGCCCCCTCGCTTGGACCGACACCATCCTCCCGCCTCTTATCCCTCCAGCGCCTCTCCTCCCACCTGTCGCCGCCCCACTCCCGCCTTCCTCCTCTGCCGACGTCTACGACCCTGCCGCACCCGCCTCCCCCGCTCACTCAGCTGCACCCCCTCCCCCCTCTCCCTCCTCCTCTCATTCTCCTCCTTTCCAGCAGCCGGATCAGCAACAGCAGGGGCAGCAGCAGCAGCAGCAGCCGGATCAGCAACAGCAGGGGCAGCAGCAGCACCAGCAGCAGCAGCAGCAGCAGCAGCAGCGGGAGCAACACCAGCAACGGCAGCAGGGGCAGCAGCAGCAGCAGCCGGGGCAGCAGCAGCAGCAGCAGCAGCAGCAGCAGCAGCAGCAGCAGCAGCAGCAGCAGCAGCAGCAGCAGCAGCAGCAGCAGCAGCAGCAGCAGCAGCAGCAGCAGCAGCAGGAGCAGCAGCAGCAGCAGCAGCCGGAGCAGCAGCAGCAGCAGCAGCAGCCGGGGCAGCCGCATCAGCAGCAGCCGGGACAGCAGCAGCAGCAGCAGCATCAGCAGCAGCAGCACCAGCAGCAGCAGCGGCGCCGTGCCACTTCCCGCTCCTCCCCCTTCCTCCTCCCTTACATCCATACCCGCTCGGTGGACAAAATCCTTGGGGCTCCTCCTCCTGCCTCCATTCAGCTCCTTGAGGACTCCCATGAGGAGTTCCTCAACATTCGGGAGCACACTCCATTCCTTGCCGCCCTCTACCTTGACTTCCTGGGCTTTCCTGTCCTTGGCGCCACTACTACCCCCACCATCTTCACTCCCTCCACCTTCCAGGAAGCCATCACCTGCCCTGATGCGGATAAATGGATAGCAGCGATCTTCCTGGAGTGTGAGGCTTTCATTCGCAACGACTCCTTTGTCGATGTCCCCCTCCCTGCTGGCGCTAATCTCGTTGACGGCAAATGGGTCTTTCGGGTGAAGCAGCTGCCGGGCGAGGAACCAGTGTACAAGGCCCGCTACTGCGCCAAGGGGTTCACGCAGACTTGGGCTGAGGACTACTGGTTCACCTACGCCCCCACCGCCAAACCACCCACCCTTCGCGCCGCCATGGACATTGGTGCACGTGACGACATGGAAATCGACTCCATGGACGTCTCCAATGCGTTCCTGCAGGGCGACCTGCATGAGCGCATTTTCCTCCGGCGACCCCCCGGGTTCCACGCAGCCTTTCCTGAGAACACTGTCTGGCAGCTGCGTCGCCCCGTCTACGGCTTGAAGCAGGCACCACGTGAGTGGCATGCGAAGCTGGCTGCCACCTTGGGGTCCCTCGGCTTCTCTGCTTCCCACTCCGACGCCAGCCTCTTCATCCGCTCCTCCCCCCGCCGCTTCTTCATTCTGGTATATGTCGACGACATGATCCTGCTCTCTGACACCAAGGCCGACATGGAGCAGGTGAAGCTGTCCCTGCAGCAGCGGCTCAAGTGCAAGGACCTTGGCGCCCTCACTCACTACCTCGGCATGACCATCACGCGCAACCGCCCTGCTCGCACAATCACCCTCTCCCAGTCCCATTACATCGGCCAGGTCTTGGAGAAGTTCGACATGGCGCAAGCCAAGCCTGTTTCCACCCCGCTCCCCTTCGGTCACCAACTCGCTCCACCCACCTCCCCCACCTCCTCCCCCCACCCCTATGCCGAGCTCGTTGGGTCCTTGATGTACGCAATGATGTGCACCCGCCCCGACCTCGCCTACCCCATCAGCGTGCTCGCTCACTTTGTCGGCACCGGTCGTCACTCTGAGGAGCACTGGAAAGCTGCCAAGCGGGTCCTCCGCTACCTTCGCGGGACCAGGGACCTTGCCCTCACCCTCGGCGGCCCTTCCCGTCCCCTTCTCTCGGGCTGCAGTGACTCCTCATGGGCTGACACGCAGCCGGACCGCCGCTCCTCCCAGGGCTACGGCTTCACCCTTGGCAGCGGCCTCATCAGCTGGCGCTCCACCCGCTCCTCCGCCATCTCTCTCTCCACCTGCGAAGCCGAGCTCTACGCTGGCACCATGGCCGCCCAGGAGTCGCGCTGGCTCTGCTTCCTTCTTGCGGAGCTTGGCGCCCCCCAGACGTGCCCCACTCTCTGGTGCGACAACGCCAGCACCATCCATCTCACTCAGGACCCCGTCTATCACGCCCGCTCCAAGCACATCGAACTCCGCTACTTCTTCGTTCGCGAGCTCGTCCAGAAGGGCCTCATTGCCGTTCGCAAGATTGCAACCGAGGCCAACTTGGCCGACATCTTCACTAAGGCCCTCCTTCGCCCCGCGCACTCTGCCTTCCTCCGCCTCATTGGCCTTGCTCGCCCGGGCGCCCCTTGATTCAGGGGTTGTTCTCTTCTTGTGTTAGCATGCTAAGGGGTTGTGTTAAAATATATATTGTGTAGCATGCCAACACATGTGACTGTACACCAATTGTGGTGTACAGTTGGGTTGGGACTACACCCAACTTTGGGTGTAGTCTTGCACTTTGGGGTGCCAATCCACCCAATTGTGGTGGAGCCCCCAAATGCAACCCTCTTGACTTGTGGGTACCTCACTTCCCACAATTGAGGTTACCCCAACCAAGTGGGCCTAGGGTTGCCTCACTTCTACAAAGTGTGGGCAACCCAACCCACTTGACCTATGGTTCCCTCACTTCCCCAAGTGAGGTCAACCCAACCTATGGTCACTTTCATCCTTCCCTTCCAACCTTCCCTTCCAACTATGTATGCTAGGTTGTTCCTCTAATCTGATCACTTGTTCAATTTGCTACTTTCACAACCTGATGCGGAACCTGATGCGGAACCTGATGCGGAACCTGATGCGGAACCTGATGGGGAACCTGATGCGGAACCTGATGCGGAACCTGATGCGGAACCTGATGCGGAACCTGATGCGGAACCTGATGCGGAACCTGATGGGGAACCTGATGGGGATCCTGATGGGGAACCTGATGGGGAACCTGATGCGGAACCTGATGGGGAACCTGATGGGGAACCTGATGCGGAACCTGATGCGGAACCTGATGCGGAACCTGATGCGGAACCTGATGGGGAACCTGATGGGATGGGGAACCTGATGCGGAACCTGATAAAGAACCTGATGCGGAACCTGATGGGGAACCTGATGGGGAACCTGATGGGGTACCTGATGGGGAACCTGATGGGGAACCTGATGGGGAACCTGATGGGGAACCTGATGGGGAACCTGATGGGGAACCTGATGGGGAACCTGATGGGGAACCTGATGGGGAACCTGATGGGGAACCTGATGGGGAACCTGATGGGGAACCTGATGGGGAACCTGATGGGGAACCTGATGGGGAACCTGATGGGGAACCTGATGCGGAACCTGATGCGGAACCTGATGCGGAACCTGATGCGGAACCTGATGCGGAACCTGATGCGGAACCTGATGCGGAACCTGATGCGGAACCTGATGCGGAACCTGATGCGGAACCTGATGCGGAACCTGATGCGGAACCTGATGCGGAACCTGATGGGGAACCTGATGGGGAACCTGATGGGGAACCTGATGGGGAACCTGATGGGGAACCTGATGGGGAACCTGATGGGGAACCTGATGCGGAACCTGATGCGGAACCTGATGCGGAACCTGATGCGGAACCTGATGCGGAACCTGATGGGGAACCTGATGGGGAACCTGATGGGGAACCTGATGGGGAACCTGATGGGGAACCTGATGGGGAACCTGATGGGGAACCTGATGGGGAACCTGATGGGGAACCTGATGGGGAACCTGATGGGGAACCTGATGCGGAACCTGATGCGGAACCTGATGCGGAACCTGATGCGGAACCTGATGCGGAACCTGATGCGGAACCTGATGCGGAACCTGATGCGGAACCTGATGCGGAACCTGATGGGGAACCTGATGGGGAACCTGATGGGGAACCTGATGGGGAACCTGATGGGGAACCTGATGGGGAACCTGATGGGGAACCTGATGGGGAACCTGATGGGGCACCTGATGGGGAACCTGATGGGGAACCTGATGGGGAACCTGATGGGGAACCTGATGGGGAACCTGATGGGGAACCTGATGGGGAACCTGATGCGGAACCTGATGCGGAACCTGATGCGGAACCTGATGGGGAACCTGATGCGGAACCTGATGGGGAACCTGATGGGGAACCTGATGGGGAACCTGATGGGGAACCTGATGGGGAACCTGATGGGGAATCTGATGGGGAATGGGGAATCTGATGGGGAATCTGATGGGGAAACTGATGGGGAAACTGATGGGGAATCTGATGGGGAAACTGATGGGGAAACTGATGGGGAATCTGATGGGGAAACTGAAGGGGGAACTGATGGGGAAACTGATGGGGAAACTTATGGGGAGAGGGGATGGAATGAGGGTGAAGGGGAAGGAACGAGGGAGAAGGGGATGGAATGGGGGAGAAGGGGATGGAATGGGGGAGAGGGCGTACCTCTTGCAGGAAGGCAGGCGAGTCGACCACAAGGCGCGACACCTGTGGTGAGGTGGGGCGGTGAGGAGAGGGAGACGGTCAGGTAGTACAAGGGAGGTTGGGAGGAAGGAGGTTGAATGTGGATCATGGAAAAGAGGGGTGGTGGATGAGGAGCGGGGCAAAGGGGCGAGGGATGATGCAGCAGTGGTGCGGAGGCTAATGGAGCTCAACCAACCACCTGTCGATGCCCAAGTCGATGCCCAAGTCAGTGACCAAGCACTTGAAGTCACCAGCGTCTCCATCACCACGTGGGCCATGCGTGCTGTGACCCACAACTTTGGTCTGTTGTGAAACCCCATGTGTGACCCACCCGACCTGCTGGGAGTGCTATGTGAAACTCCTACCTTGACATGGGGCACCTCAGATTATGGTGCTCTCATAAATCCCCCACAGCGTGGGGCCCACAGCCGGCACGTTGTGAAGCCAAACCTTTCCACCCTCCCCACCTGCTGTGCCCCACCGACCTGGTGGTGCTGCACGAGCAGCGAGTGGATGACGTCCAGACCAGAGCCATGGGCGTGCCCTGTAGCAGCAGCGTGGGTCCCACCCACGCAAGTCACCTTGTAAGCCCCCTATCCTCCCCACCCATCCCCCACCTGGTGGTGCTGCACGAGCAGCGAGTGGATGACATCAAGGGCCATGGGTGTGCCCTGCAGCAGCAGCGTGGGGCCCACAGCCGGCACGTCCGCCACGCTCCTCACATGCCCCGCCACCGCATTCGCGCGCGCCAGCACCGCTCTCCACCGCTCCACCAGCTCCGCTAGATCCGCCCCCAGGTCGCCCTCCCCCTTCCCCACCGCCGCCTGCCGCACCTGCTGGGGCCGAGGCCGGGAGGAGTGAAGGGAGGGCGAGTGAAGGGAGGGCGAGTGAAGGGAGGGCGAGTGAAGGGAGGGCGAGTGAAGGGAGGGCGAGTGAAGGGAGGGCGAGTGAAGGGAGGGCGAGTGAAGGGAGGGCGAGTGAAGGGAGGGCGAGTGAAGGGAGGGCGAGTGAAGGGAGGGCGAGTGAATTGGTGGGGCGAGTGAAGGGAGGGCGAGTGGAGTGGTGGGGCGAGTGCAGGGTGGGGTAGGCACTTGTAGACAAGGCAGGCAGCGGCATTGCATTGCGGTCCGCCCCATAAGAGAGGAGCGGGAGGGGAGGAGGTGCGCGGGGAGGGGAGCGAAGGGGATAGGCAAGAGGAGAGGGAAGTAGCGCAGCGGGAGAGGGGAAGGGAAGACGTGGCAGCAGCAGGAGGAAGGGGGTGCAGTGCGGTAATGTGCATTAGGGCAGGAGTTCACCTGGATGGAGAAGGATCGGGTGGGTGCGAGGCGGGCAACAATGGCCTGTATGCGCGCCGCCTCCTCTGCTGCCACCCCCCTCGGCATCACCAGCCCTGTTCCCCGCAGCACCAGCCGCTGATGGGCGCAGGGTGGGGCGAGGGACAGAGGAAGATGAGGAGATGGAGAGAGATGGCTGCTGCTGCCACACACGGAGGGTATACAGAACGCCCTGCAGCTTCAGATGAAGGCGCTCAGGTTACCCTAAGTGGCCTGTCTTCGTGCCACTTACCCCCAAGGTGTAGGCTGTATTCGGCTTCTAGCATAGACCTTAGGACGTGATCACTTGGCTGTCTTACATGATTGCCTTGGCTTCTCATACCGACCTCTGCTGTACCGTTCTTCTTATTCAATGGCACGGACCGTTCGAGAGATGGCTGGGGGAGGCGAGAGAGAGGAGGGGTTGGAGGAGAATGAAGAGAGTGAAGACGAGAGGGCAGAGTGCAAGCAACACTCACAAAGCAGCGGCCTGCCAGCACGGGGAAGGCCCGCAGCACGGAGTCCTTGGCGCCAATGGGCCCTCGCACCACCTGCACCAGAATCAGCATCCCCGCCCGCACCTCCCCCCACTCCTCATACTGCTCCTCCTCCTCCTCCTCCCGCTCCTCCTCGCCCTCTGCTCCCCGCTCCCTCGCCTCCTCGCTCCCCCTCGTCCCCCCGCTATCCCCTCCCTCAATGGCCCCCGCTCGTCTCGCTCGCTCTCTCGCCGCCCGCCGCGATTCCATGAGCTGGCGCCACGTCAGCGACCACGCAGCCGAGCGGCGGCTCCTCGGCTGGCCTCGGGAGCCCGGGATGACTGTCAGCCGCCCGCCGCCCAGCCTGCCGCCCGCTGCGTAGGGCGGCACACTTACCCTCGGGCGGCGCACCCCTGGCAGTGGGTCAACCCCCCACGTGGACTCACTTGTATTGGCAGCAGCATCTACCCTCCCACTCCCCCCTTCCCCCTCTCCACCCACCCCCCCTCCCCCTGCCCCCCCTTGCCTCCTCTGCCCACTGCCCTCCCCTCCTCCCCCCTTTATCCCTTCCCCCAACTCCTTGCTTCCACCGCCCTCCTTCCCCCCTTGCCCCTTGCTGCTCCCTCCCCCCCGTCTCCTCCTCCCCCTGGCGCTGGCAGGAGCGGGGGGGGTGGGGGGGGGTGGGGGGAGGGGGAGGTTGAGCTGCTGGGAGAGCAGGGCGGAATAGCGGCGGCGGGGGGAGGGGGAGAGGGGCAGGGGGAGGGTGGCAGCAAGGGAGAGCAGGCGCGGGCGGCCGGATGGGCGGCGCAGAGGGGGGTCTGGCTGCTGCTGCTGCTCCTGCTGCTGCCTCCTCCCCTCCTGCTGCTCCTGCTGCTGATCCTCTGCCTTTCCACGTGCCTCTCGTTCCTCTCCCTCCGCTTGCCTCTCATCTGGCCTCCTACCCTCCCCGTCCTCGTCCCTGCTCCCACTGCCGCCGCTGCTGCTGCTGCTGCTGCTGCTGCTGCTGCTGCTGCTGCTGCTGCTGCTGCTGCTGCTGCTGCTGCTGCTGCTGCTGCTGCTGCTGCTGCTGCTGCTGCTGCTGCTGCTGCTGCTGCTGCTGCTGCTGCTGCTGCTGCTGCTGCTGCTGCTGCTGCTGCTGCTGCTGCTGCTGCTGTCGGTGGCGGTGGCGGTGGTGGTGGAGGAGGAGGAGGTTGGAACAGGAAGAGGCGGGGCAGCAGCAGAGCGGGCACGAGGGGAGAGGGGTGGCGGAGGGAGGGACGGTTTGGGGTACAGCGGGACAGGGTTGGCGGGTGGGTTGAGAGAAGCACAAGGGTGGAGAGAGGAGGGCTCGGTGGGGATCGCGATGAGGGCGTCAAGTTGTGGTGGTGAGGGCAGGGGTGAGGGCAGGGGTGAGGGAAGGGGTGAGGGCAGGGGTGCAGGCAGGGGTGAGGGCAGGGGTGCAACAGGGTCAACAATGGGGTCTGCTGATGCGAGGGCGAGGGGGAGGGAGGGCGAGGGGAGGGCGGGCGGGAGTTGAGGAGGAGGGGGTAGGGAGGAAGGGGGTATGGAGGGCGGGGGTATGGAGGGCGGGGAAGGGGCGAGCAGGGGGAGCGGACGGCTGTGCAGGCCGAGAGAGAGGGAAGAGGCGGCATGAGCAGGCAGGCAATCGGTTAAGCCGTTGGTGAGGTCCCGACTGTCATTCCCATTCCCTGCCTTCCCCACCACCTCTACTGCTGCTTCTTCCTTCTCCTCCTCGGACTTCTGTTCCCCCCCATGCTTCTTCTCTGCCTCCCCACTGCTCCCCTCCTCTTCCCCCTCTTCCTCCTCCTCCTCCTTCTCTTCTTCCTCCTCTTCTTCCTCCTCGTCCTCAACTTCCTCCTCTGTTTCTTCCTCTTCCTCGTCCTCCGCCCAATCATCACCAGCGCCCATGCCTCGCCTCCTCACAGCCTTCTTCCTCCGCCGCCTCCCATCTGTCCTCTCTTCTTCCTCCTCCATCTCCCATTCCTCCTCTTCCTCCTCCTCCCACCCTCCTCCTTCCTCCGCCTCCTCCTCCTCACTCACCTCCTCAACATCACCTTCCACACGCTCCCACCGCTCTCTCTCATCCGCACTCCCTTCTGATCCTTTCGATTGCCGCAACATGGCATCGCCATGAGCATCAACATCCGCATCAGCAGGCGCATGAGCATGTGAGTGAGAAGCAGCAGCATCGCCAGCATCACTGCTCTCGTCCTCAAGGTCCGTTTCGAACTCACCCTCCACGTCCACCCACTCCTCCTCTTCCTCCTCCCCTTCTTCTTCTCCTTCCTCCTCCTCCTCCTCCTCCTCCTCCTCCTCCTCCTCCTCCTCCTCCTCCTCCTCCTCCTCCCCATCCTCCTCCTCCTCCTCCTCCTCCTCCCCATCCTCCTCTTCTATCCACTCCTCTTTTTCATAGCCATCGCCCATTATCTCTCCCTCCCCCTGTTCCTCGCCTTCATCCTCCTCTCCCTCCCCCTCCTCCGCCATATCATCCTCATGCCACTCATCCAGGTCCTCTTCGTGACCCTCATCTTCCTCATCTTCTTCCTCTCCTTCCTCTTCTTCCTCTTCTTCTTCTTCATCCTCCTCCTCTTCCTCAAAATCATCATCATCATCATCCCCATCCTCCTCATCCCTTTGCATACCTGCCACAACCACTGCACCCCTCTCCACCCCTTCCCTCACCTCCCATCCCGGAATCAACCCGCCACCCTCGACCTCCACTCCCACCCACACGCCTGCACTCCCGTCCGCCACGGCACCCGCCCCACCTACTGTCTCCTCCCTGCCCACCAACATCTCCGAGTGCCTCACAGCATCCAGCCCTGCTCCCGTACCTGACTCCGACCCTGCACCCGTAGCTAGCTCCGACCCTGCGGCCGCACCATTCTCTCTGCCTCTGTCTCCGCCTGTGTCTGCATCACCGCCTGTCGCTGCCCCTCTGCCTCTCCCTGTGTTTGCCTCTGTCTCTCTCTCTGCCCCAGCGCCTGTCTCCCCCCCACCGCCCCCCACCACAGCCGTGTCACCCCAAGCATGCGCAAGGGCAGAATCGCCCCCAGTGGGGGGGAAGGTGAGGGGGCGGTCGTTGTGGGCGAGGTTGAGCAGGGAGGGCGCGGCGCCCCCTATGTCGACGAACGCGGCCTTCATGCCCGGATGCAGCGAGCGGATCACCCCCAGGTACACGTCCCCCACTCGCACCCCCCACGGCGTGGGAGGAGGGGGCGGAGAGGGCAAGGGAGATATGGGAAAAACGCTGCTGCCTGCTGCTGACGGGGCTGAGAATGGGGATTTAGATGGGTTGGGTGGGGTGAGTGGGGTGAGTGGGGTGAGAGGAGATGGAGCAGCGGCAGTGGTGGTGGTGGTGTGGATGATGGGAGGGCGAGGGGAGGAGCGGAAGGGCAGTGCGGGCTGGGGGAGGGAGGGTGGCGGGGTGGAGGCAACGATGAGTTCCACCAGGCGCCCCTCCTCCACCACTGCCACTCGCTGCAGCCCCACTGACGAGCAGTTCACGTAGATCGATACGCCCCCTGGGGATGCTGGTGATGATGGGGATGATGATGGCGATGATGGTGATGCTGCTGGTGGTGGTTTAGGGTTTAGGCTTCTGCCCCTCGCCTGGCCCTCAGCATCAGCGGCAGCAGCCGCCTTGAGTGCCTCCAACATGCCCGCTCCCAGCCCGCCCTGCCCTGCCTGCGCTGCCTGCCCGCCCTGCCCTGCCTGTGCACCTGCTGCCTTCCCCTCCTCCGCCTCACCCGTCACTCTCTCCCCCTCGTCCCGGGCCCCCTCGTTTGCCCCGTCCGCCCTCCCTGCCCACGCCCGCCCTTTTTCCTCCCCTTCCGCCCCCTCGCCCTCCGCGCCCTCACTTTTTGCCCCCTCGACCGCGGCCACCTCCCCTTTTGCCCCCTCACCCTCCGTCTCCCCCCCTGCCGCCAGAGCCATGAGCTGCTCGTCTTGCTGCTGCGCGGCTCTCAGCGCCATGAGCTGCTCGTCGCGCTGCTGCGCGGCTCTCAGCGCGGAGAGCGCGGACAGGGCCGCCAGGCGCAGCCGCCACGCACCACTGGGGGCGCCGCCACCACCGCCGCTGCTGTTGCTAGGGGTGGCCGCGGGGATGGGCGTGGCAGTGGGCGTGAGCATGAGGTTGGAAGCATCACCATCAGTGGCAGGGCTGGCAGCACTACCAGCTGCAGCGCCAGGACCGGAGGGCGGACCACCAATGGCGCCCGCACTGCCTGCTGCTCCCCCTGCCCCCTCGCCCTTGCCCCTGCTCCCTCGTGCCACGTCAGATGCCACGCGTGCTGCACCGCCTGCCATGTCATACCGCCTCACCCGCCCTTTCCCACCCCCAACTCTCCACCTGCTTTGACTGCCCCCCCTTCCCCACCCCTCCTCGTCCTCCTCCAAATCCTCCTCAATCTCCCAATCCCCCTCCCCTTCCCCCTCCCCTTCCTCCTCCCCTTCTTCCTCCCCTTCCCACTCCTCCTCATCGTCCATCCCCCCTTCCTCAACTATCTCCCCCTCCCCCATACCTGCATCCCCGCCTGTTCCCGCAGCAATCGACGCTTTCTCTCCTCGCGCTTCCCCCAGTCCCCGACCCTCAGTCCCCCTATCATCCCCCACCCCATTCCCGCGCATTCCCCCGCCACCACCCCCAGCCCGCGCCCTCAACCGCGAGCCCCGTTCCGCCTCCCCAGGCCAGTCCTCGTCCAAATCCCCCTCCACTTCCCCTTCTAAGCTTCCGCCTTCGCGCCATGAATCCTCCGCCCCCACACCTTTCCCTCCCCCTTCCCCTTCCCTCTTTCCGCTCCTTTCCCCATGCACTGCACGCAACTTCCACCCTCTCCGCCTCCCCGCCCCGCTTTCCTGCGCCGAGGTGCATCGTCCCCCAATGCGACTAGCGGAGGGGGAGCCAGGCAGCAGGCGCGCGGAAACTACCTGCTGCGATTCCCGCCTGCATCTCCGCAACTCGCGCAGATGCTCGCGGGAGGCGGAGACGAGCGGCGGTAGAGGGGCGGCTGTGACGACAGCGTGGGGAGCGGAGAGGGGAATGGGGGTGGGAACTGACATGGAGCAGCCGCGAGGCGCGTTGGAGAGGGACGGAACGAGCGGAGAGAGCGAAGAGAGCGCGACGTAAGTGCATGCTGCAATCGGCGCGCTTTGAGCTGCTGGCCCGCGCTGATTTGGGTGATCTGTGTGCGAAGGATGGGTCGATTGGCGCCAATTCGCGTGAAGTGTAACTGTCTAGGGAGTGGATAGAGATGGTGGGGCAGAATGAATCGACTCGATATGATCTGACGCGAATTTCCAAATGTTTGAGCTAGTGTACTTCTGATTCGAGCAACACTATCTGAAAATGTATCAGTAGAAATTCTCAATGTTCCTACAGTCGCCGATTCAGCATTCTCAATCACGAGTCGGTGAGGCTCAAAATCCTTGGTCACACAGCTCTCAGTGGTTGAGTGTGTTCTCAGTAGCTCGTCAAGCAGTACTGCGAATACCTACGAGGTCGGCCCGATCCATTCTCCTCGTCTCCGTATGGCCGCCGTCGCGCCACGGCGCGCGATTCGCTGATGCCTCGCACAGTGCCCTCCTGCACGCCCTTCCGCCTGCTTGCGATCGCCGCGCTCTCGCTGCTGCACTTCCGCCTCTTCCTCGCGCGCTACTTTCCCCACCCGTCCGCGCCCTTCCGCGACTGCCCCGACACCGCCGCCGACGTCTCCGCCTTGCGCTCGGCGTTCCGCAAATGCCAGGGGGAGCTCGTGCACCGGCGCGTGGCTGCGCGGAGTGCTTATAACGATGCCTCGGCGGGCGGGGGGGATCTGGATGAGCGGTGGCTTGCCGAAAGCGCAGTCTCCGCCGTGCATCACCGCGCTGGCGCCGGCGGGGAGGGCGTCGCAGATTCTGTTTCCGCGGAGTACGCGCGGAGGCGGGACGCGCATTTGACGCGCTTGCAGGCGGACAGGCTGAGCGAATGCGCCGCATCTGACGCGGAACTGAAGCAATTCCTGCGCTTCCATCCGCACGCCACGTGTCCCAACGACTGGGAGCTAGCCCACTGCCTCCGCTTCACCGACCATTGCCACGTCATCCCTCCGCGCGCGTGCCTCTCCCCCACCCCCCCTGACCCCGTGGAGCCCCCGCCGCATCCAGAGGCGCTCTGGACGCCGCTAGACGGGCGCAGCGTGCGGTGGGAGCGCTACGACTGCGCTGACGTGGCATGCGTCGAGCGCAAGCTGGCAGCCTTTGCTGCAGGTGCTGCTGCGGACGCTGCAGCTGTAGCGGCTGTAGCGCGAGCCGTCAACTCGAGCCTGGACCCATTTCCCTGGGAGCGGCGCGAGGGGGAGGGCAAGCAGGATGAGCGGGGGAGGGGGAGGAGCGGGCGGGCAGGCGGACAGAATGGGGGGGTAAGGGAGGGAGACGCGGCGAGTGGGTGCAGCAGGGACGGATGGGCTGGTGGGGCCGCGTGTTTCCAATTCACGCGCCCCTCTGCCAGCAGCGCGAGCGACGGCGGCAGCCATAGCAGTCGCAGTAGCAGTGGTAATGGTAGTGGCAGGAGCGGGCGCAGCAGCCCAATGACTCGTGCTGCGAGTGGCAGTGTGGAGGAAGCAGGCACACGGGAGACGTTCCACATTCGCGATCTCATGCGCCTCAAGGGGGGCGCTGTGCGCTTGGGGCTGGACCTGGGCGGCGGAACTGGCCAGTTTGCCGCCCAGATGGCGCTGCACAATGTGACCATCCTCACTGCGCAGTCCAATCTGATTTTCTACCCTGATGCCTCACAACCGCCCTCGGGCCTCACTGCTGCGGACACCACTGCAACCAGTCGCACCAGCACCAGCAGCAGCGGTACGAGCAGTGCCAGTGGCACCAGCAGCAGCAGCAGCAGCAGCAGCAGCAGCAGCAGCAGGGTGGCGGTGCCATTTCAAGAGGCACTGGCATGGCGGGGCCTGGTGGCAGTGGACATGCCTCTCACAGCGCGCCTTCCTTTCTTTGACGCCTCACTGGACCTCATCCATGCCACCGGCACCGCCGGCCCCGCCCTCCTGCAGGGCGTCGATTCTCTGCCGCCCAGGGACTTCCACCTCGCTCTCTTTGATTGGGATCGCGTGCTGAGGCTGGGCGGCATTCTTTGGCTGGAAGCGATAGAGCACAGTGCGGATGCGATGCCACTGTACGAGGCGGCTCTGGAGCGGCTGGCATATCGTGTTGTGTTTGTGAGGAAGCTGGATGCGGTGGTGGAAGGGGTGCTGCACAGGCATGTGCAGAGATTGTGGGTTGTTCTGGAAAAGCCAATTGAGCGGAGGGCTGCGGCCAGTTTGGACAGTCAGGGAAGAAAGGGGAAAATGAGCAAACAAGTGCACTCTTTTGATCCGAATGTCCTCACTTTGATGAGCTGAAGGGCTTACTTACAGCATTTGTGCTCACAAGTTCAGCACGAACATAAGCAACCTGATTTTTATGAATACGTATTGAATCATGCTGATATATGTAAAGAGTATGCGACGCTACCCTCCTTATCACCGGGTTTTATTCTCATTTTTTTCTCATGAAATTACATCTATGTCTACCTTGCAGGTTTGCTTGTCAAGATATTGCACCGCTTTTGTTGAATACATGAAAGCAGGAAGTACCTTATGCGGGTTGCACCTTGCATCATGAACATACTGTAGTTCCACGCGCCATCGTCCGGTTGGGCCTGGCTTGTGTATAACCCGAGCCTCGTGGTTCGGTTTTCGAAGCCCGTTGAGTGCACGCCACGGCAGAGGAATGCCCGACACCCGACCAACAAACTTAAGGTTGGGACAAGTGGCGCGTGCTTGTGGCCACCTAAGCCTCGTGTGCTTTGTCGGCGAAGTTGCGTGGCGAACCTTCGCTTGCTTGGACACCTGCGCGGTGCTGGCTTGTTTTCGCTGATCTCATTTCGAAGCCTTGGAGGCGCACAGACCACTGTAGTGTACTGTTTTCGGTCCAACCACCCGTTGCAGGCGTTCCCGAACCCACCACAACAAGCTCAGTGGTTGGCTCAGCACTTTGCACCCCGCCAGCTGTAATGGATCACACCAATCATAGAGTAGTTTCGCATTATGTTTACGCGGTTGACCGAGTGACGTGGTGCCAGCGTACATGCGCATGTCGACAGCCAGCCAGTACCAAGCCACTGCCTATCTCTTTCCGATCCAGGTGTGCTGAGCAGGACCTAGAGGCCTTGGCTGCTGACGTGGTTCAGGTGGCTCGACAGCTAGCCAGTGACTAACTCCCCGTGGTTTCTCAGCCACAGTACCCAGCATCGCGACACGGCCAAGTCGCGGTGGAGATTGGAGCGCGGCCCGGGTGGCATGTCTTGCAGCATTGGCGAATGAGAAACGCGACATTCTGCTGAGTAAGCTGGGGAGGAAAACCCAAGGAGGCATTGAACGGATGCATTGCGCTTTTTCAATTGTCCCCTCCCCTTCCTACCTCCCTCCCTCGCCTCTGCTTGGCCCTGCTGATTTTGAGCCCTGCTGCGCTGTCATCATGAGTCGAGCTGTGGTAGGCCGTGAGCGGGCGACAGCAGGGTGAAGAGGATCCATGGACAGTCCTTCTCCAACACACACAAACCTTTGTGCGACTGGAGCACCAACTCAACTTGGATTTATAGACCTCAGCTAAAGGACCAGCAGCGCAAGGGCACATGAGATAGAAGTTTCGAAGCCACTTTCACTCGCATCCAAGGGAACGCGCTCGTGCATTTAGTTCAGTGTTCCACGTCGCTAGTAAAACGTAAAAACTATCTAGTTTCTTCGAACTCTTTATGTCATCACTTCAGTTCCTCGCAATGCCGTTAGATCGATCGTTCGCCAGTGCCTCTCAAATACCAGCTCTCGGTTCGACCTTTTCCCGCGCGCAGCCCGCCATGCTCCTTCAGCAGCTATCGCGCGACCCCGCGCAGCGGGAGGAGCAGCTCGGCGTTTTGCTCCAAGACAGCCCCGCGGGCTTCACCCTCCCCGCATGGCTCCTCGCACATACAAACCCCGCGGTCGCGATAGCCGCTGGCGCTTTACGCGCTAGACCAGCGACGGACTGCGCACATCCGCATGCGCCACACTCCAGTGACAATCACGACGCCCAGGTGCTGTTCCGACCGACCGCCATCCGCGCTCCTCCCAACAGCGGCGCCGACGAGGCTCGCTCGGACGAGCCTGCGCTTCGAGGGGATGTTCCCGCGCTTGCGAAGAAGAGGAGGTTCGCGCAAGTGGCGGCGGAGGACGAGGAGGTGAATAGCAGCCATCGCAAGTCGCCGCTAAGCTCGCCACCTCGGCCACCCTCAAAACGACTTGCACTCACCGAAGCCGCAGTTCCCGTCGCGTCAAGAATTCCGCCAAACGAGGAAACCTCGGGGACTCATGGCGCTTCGTTGAGCGCGCTACAGCCGGATGCTACACTCAGCCTGGCGGAGCGACTCTCCCGCTACGACCAGCTAACGGCGTCCCTCCGCTCCTCCCTCCCGCACGGCAACCTGAGCAAGTGGGACGTGGCGGTGGGGCGGCTGCGGGAGCGCGTGGCGCAAAAGCCGGAGTTTGGAAGCAACGTGAACCAGTTCCTCGTGTTCCTCCACAGCCAGCTGCGCGGATCGCAACAGCCCTCCGCGCGCGCCGCTCTGCACCAGTTCGCCGCGCTTATGCGCGCCAGGTGCCAGCAGAAGCAGCAGCGGTCGGAAGGTGGTAACCAGTGCGTGTTGGGGGAAAGCGGGAGTCTTGAGGGCGTTAGTGATTCAAGATTGGCGCATGGAATGTCAGTACTCGGTGCGGGCAGCAGAAGTGGCTTGAATGGTGCCGCGGAGGGATTGGGTGCGGTAGAATGCGATAGAGGAAGTGCGGCAGAGAGAAAAATGGAACTTCAGTGGCTGCTCCGATAGACGCTCAAGATATACCGTAGTTACCTCAATATACTGTTCAGAGTTGTTAGAACAAAATGAAGCTGCTGTATTTATGATGGCTTGAAGAGTGTATAGAGTTGATGTGCCAATTGTCACCAGTACCTGAGTTACATCCTGTGTATGTCGTTCATGAAAATAAAGAAAGTTTGACAATTTGTCAATGTGACTAATTTTACACTAATGCCTGCTTCCTTGTGAAGTTTTAACTGCCAATGACAAACTATTGCATGTAGAAGATGCACATACATAGATGCATTCAACTCTATACAAGCACAGGCTGATAAATAGCAACCTCTTTCAAACTAGCCCTTGCCTCCTGGTCCATTCCTGCACCAGCTAGCACAGGTGCAGCTTCCCCAGATATCACCTGCCCACAGCCTTGACTCTCCTGTGCTGAATTGCTTTCCAGCATTGCGATGCTAACCTCCTCATGAATCCCACCTGAACCTGCCTCTCCATCATCCCCCCCTGCATTCACCTGCTCCAACTTCCCCCCCATTCCCTCACCTTCATGCTGCGCCTCCCCGCCACTCCCATCCCCCATGAATTCTGCTTCAATCTCACCACCACCATCACCATCACCATCACCACCATCACCATCACCATCACCACCATCAGCATCAGCAGCATCGGCATGAGGTGGCCGAGGTGGTGCCTTGCGGGCGTGGAGCACGAGGGGGGAGAGGGCGGGGTAGAGGTCCAACACCAGCATGTTCTGCAGCCCCACCCGCTCCCCCCCCCCACCTCCTGCTGCTCCCTCCTTCCCACCTTCTGCTGCCACTGCTGCTCCTGCCACATCTCCTGCTGCTGGTGCGCCCTCCTCCCCGCCTGCACCACCACCAGCAGGAGCAGCAGGAGGAGCGAGCTCTTCGTCCCAGAGCTCATAGTTACCACTGGCAGTCTCATCACACTGCATGCGAGCGCGCACCTCCATCGCCCACTCATTCCCCGCCTTGAACGGCAGCGGTGACAGCAGCCCCCCATGCGGGGATGACGGCAGCAGCCCCTCGCCCTCTTCCCCCGGCACCACCATCGCCACCCACGGTACCTCTGCCGCTGCTGCTGCCGCTGCCGCTGCCGCCGCTGCTGCCAGTGCCAGGGCCACAGCCTCTTCGCCTGCAGTCAACAGACTCATGCCGTCATGCATCCCCCCGTGCCCCCCTCCTCCCCCCATGAGGGGTAGACTCACCGCCCCCATGCCCTTAAACCCCAACTTGTGCCCCACGCCCCCCTTGTGCCCGGCTTTAAACACTGTCACCGCACGCGCGGCGCGAGAAACCACCCCCCCATGCCCGCTGCTGCTGCTACCACTGCCCCCGTGGCCCCTCGACCTGCCGTGCTGCGGGCTGCCTGCCCGCTTGCCCACCAGGCGCCGCCAGTTGCCTTTGGAGGTCCCATGGGAATCAGCGTCCGGGTCGGTGGAGTGGGAGGCGGTGGAGGAGGAGGGGGCAGCAGTGGTGGCGGAGCGGGAGAAGATGGACTTGCCCACAATGCGCGGGCTGATTAGCGCAGATGCCACCGACGCCTTGCCCCCTCCCCCTGCTGGCCCCCCGTGCCTCCTCCCACCACCACTGCCACCACCGGCACCACCAGCAGTACCAGCAGCAGCAACAGCAGCAGCAGCACCAGTTGCACCAGGGCCACCAACAGCACCACTGCCATGAGCAGCAGCACCGCTCCCCACCCCTGGGCTGCCACCCCACCACCCCCTTTCCTTGTTCATCCTCAGCTTCCCCAGGCTGCCCGGAACCCGCCGCTTCCCTGAACCTTTGTCGAAGCTGCCCGACTTGCGGTGTTTCATCTGCCCGGCTGGCGCAGACATGGAATTGCGGGCGGCAATCAGAGGGGAGAAGCCAGGAATAGGGCGCTGGGGGGAGGCTGGGGGGAGGGCGGGTTGAGAGGGTTTGGAGGTATATTGTGAGGTGTGGTGTGCGGCGCCCACACTCATGCTACGGAATCCCCCCTGTGCTGCCGGGGCGGTCTGTGCCTGGTGCAGTTTCTGCAGCTGCTGCTGCTGCTGTCGCTGCAAGGGAGTGAGGTGAGGAGCATGGGAGGTGGCATAAGCAGGCGAGCGGGCAGGTGAGAGAGTGTGCGGGATGGCAGAGGGTGCGGTGAGCGATGGAGCGACAGTGCGACCCTGCGCCTGCCCCTGCTGTCCCTGCTGCTGCTGTTGCTGCTGCAGGGGGGAGCGGCGGGGCGGTGTGTGCAGAGCCGACGTGGCCTGCAGGTGGGGAGGCGGGACCTGCTGCAGGTTCGCCTGTGGGGATGCGTCTCGCGGCTTCAGAGGAGACAGCTGCCGCTCATGCTGCTGCTGCTGCTGCCCGCCCTGCCACTGCCCCTCCGCATGCCCGTCCGCCCCACCCGCCTGCCCCGCACCGCCGTGCAGCGCCATGTGTGCCTCCCACTGCTCGCCATCCCCCCACGAGCTACCCGCCTCCGACCCCGGCCCATCTGAGACCAGTGATGCCGCGCTGCCAGGGGCAGCAGCAGGGGACAGGGCCAGGCCGTGCGCGTGGGCGTTCTCGTGGGTGTGCGCGTGCTCGTGGGCGTGGGCGCCCTGCAGGCGGCAGGGGGTGGTCTGGTGGCGCATGAACAGATGGTCTGGAGACTGCTCCCACTCGCCCCCGCTGCTGCTGGGAGGGGACAACACTCCCCCTTCTGCTTCACCTGTGTCCCCCACACCGGAGCCCCTGCCAGCACCACGCACAGCTGCTGCAGCATCAGGAGAAGCAGCAGCACGGCCGCCCGCAGCAGCGGAAGCAGCACCGCCACCTCCTGAGCTCGTTGCTGCTGCTGCCCCCCCTGCCGCTGCCGCCATCCCTCCCCTAGTGCCTGCCCCAGCGCGTCCCTTGGCAGAGCCACCACCCACCTCCCCCTCGCCTGCCCCACCACCCGCACTCGCCGTTGCTGCCGGCGCTGCACTGGCTGGGGGGGCGGGGGGGGCGGAGTGCACGTGGGGCCAGATGTAGGAGGGGTGGCGCACGTGGGAGAGCGCAGGGCGCGCAGAGGGGGGCGAGCCCGCGGGGGGGCGAGGGCGCATGGGGGAGGCGGCAGCTTGAGAGGGGTGGGGCGTGGCAGGGAGGGGGCGGTGGGATGCGGAGGCAGGGGCAGGGCGGGGAGCGGAGGAGGGCGGGTGGGAGGGGGGCGAGGGGAGGGAGTCAGAGGCGGGAATGCCTGCCACAGTGCACACCGTGCGCTGCCTCTGCCTTGCTGCCGCTGCTGCTGCTGATGCTCCCGCCAACGCCAATGCTGGTGGTGCTGATGGTGGTGCGGATGCTGCTGGTGCTGATGGCGATGCTGAGGATGACGTTGGGGGTGACGGGGAGGGGGTCCTCTCGCGATGGAGGGGGGACTGCCGCCGCTGCTGTTGCCCCTGGCCAAATTGCTGTGCCTGCTGCTGCTGCTGTGGCTGCGGTGGCGGCGGCCGTGGCTGCAGGAATGGCAGCTGAGGCGGGTGGACCGTTGGCTCATCCCCCACCAGGCTGCCCACCTGAAAGCCCAGACCGTCCGCAGCACGGCTCAGGTCCACACTCGCAAACCGCATGTGCCGCCTCGCACCCGCGCGGCCCCGCCCCCTGCCACCACCGCCTGGCACCGCACCCAACCGCCTGGACCCTCCGCCTTCTGATCTCACACCCTCTACGGGCGCACTGGGCGCCCCTCCAGCCTCGCCCTCTCGCCCAGCGCCTCCCCGCCCCTCCGCCCCTCCCACACCTGCTCCCATGCCAGTTCCCACGGGGCCTCCGAGGGGGGGGGCCATGGCGTCCTTATCTGCAAAGAGGCGCGCAGACAGACTGATGGAGCGCTGAAACACCATGCCCGCCTCCTCGCCTTCCGCTGCTGCCGCTGTTGCTGCTGCCCCTGATGCTCCTCCTGCTCCCCCACCTCTTGCTTCCCCTCCTCCTCCTTCCAAACCCGCTGCTTGTCCGCTCCTAACATCACCTGTCTGTCGGTCAACCCCCCGCCCCCGCCCCCTTCCCCCATCCTGCCCCGGCCCCCGCCCCCGCCCCCGTCCCCGCCCACCTCCGCCTTCCTGCCCCCGGCCCTGCCCCGGTGGCAGCAGCCGCTGCTGCAGCATGCGAGGGGCGTCTGTGGGGGGTGCAGTGGCGGCCGAGGCAGGGGCAAGGGGTGCAGCAGCAGCGGCAGCGGTGGGGGAGGGCAGACGGGGCGCATGCGCAGCTGCAGGCGCAGACAGCACATCTGACACTGACCCAGGTCCCCTCCCCCTCCCTCTCCCTCCTGCTCCCACCCTCCCCCCACCGCTGCCACCTCTCCCAACTCCCATGGCCCCTCGCCCTCGGCCTCGCCCCCCTCCCAGCGCCACAAGGGCACCTGTGCTGCCCTCACTGCCTGCTGCTGCTGCTGCTGCTGAGGGCACTGGGCTCTGTGCGCGCTGGAAAGAGGGGAGGTCGGCGGGCTGTGCCGGTGCGACTAGGGGCACTGGTGGCGGCTGTGCCTGTGGCTGTGTGTGTGGCTGTGCCTGTGCCTGTGCGCCCAGGAGTGCGAGCATGGACATGTGGGAAAAGTCACCTGACACGCTCCGTGCCCTCATTCCCCTTCCCCTGCCCACGCCACGCCCTGCTGCCGCTGCTGCTGCACCCATGCCGCCACCCCTGCCACCCATCTGCACCGCACTGCTTGATGCGGCAGAAGGAGAGGGGTCCAGGCCGCGTTGAGCCAGGGAGGAGGATGGTTGTAGCTGCAGCTGCGAATTCAACTGAAAGCTCTGCCTCATACCGACTGCTGCTGCTCTGCTGCTTGCCACTCCCCCAATCTCCACAATTCCCCCTCTACCCCCTGCCCCCATCATGCCCATGCTCCGGCTGCTGCTCTCTGCTGCTCCCCCCATCCCCATCCCCATCCCTGCCCCCCCGCCCACCACCAGCGCCATGCTACTCATGTCCGCCAGGCTGCCACTCCTGCCATGCCGCACCATGCGGGGGGGCCTAGCCCCTGCCTCCCTCCCGCCCGCCATGCCCTGCTGCCTCCGCGCGTCCTGCCCTCGTGCCCCCTGCTGCAGCGCTTGCTGTGTCTGTGCCTGTGCCTGTGCCTGTGCCTGCGGCTGTGCCTGCGGCTGTGGCTGTGGCTGCTGCTGCTGCTGCTGAAGCGGCGGCGGCGCCAGCGGCGGTGGTGGCGGCGGCGGCGGCTGCTGCTGCTGCTGCACGGGTCTCAGGCGCCCTAGATTCACTGCACCTGGACCACTCACACCTGTGCCCCGCGCTGCCCTCCTCACCAGCACCTCCACCCCTGACACCGCTGCTGCCGCCCTCACAAACTCGTCCTCCTCTTCCCCCTCTTCCCCCCCTGTCCGCTCCCCCCAACTGCCTCCCCCACGCTCAGACTCCCCCTGCTGCTCACCCTCCGCCCCGCCCCCCTTTCCTCCCCCTGCCACCCCTCCCCCAGGGGTAGCATCGAGCACGCGCGGGGGGAGGGTGTGGCGGCGCTGCATTCTGCGCGAGGGGCGCAGGGGCGGGGAGGAGGCGCAGGCAGGGGGGAGCGGGGGCGCGGGCGGGGGGCAAGGGGGCCTGAGAGGGCGAGAGGAGGCGGAGGAGGAGGAGGAGGAGCGGGGGACAAGAGAGGGCTCGCGAGGGGAGGAGAGGTCACGGGAAGGAGAGAGGGAGGAACGTGCGGGAGGGAGGCGCTGTGACTGTAGCGAGATGGAGGCTAGGGATTGTGATAGTACCGGGATTGAGACCTGGGATTGTGCCTGTACCGGGACTGAGGTGTGCGATCGTGACTGCGAGAGGGGTCGCTGGGTAAGGTTGTGTGTGTGAGCAGGGGAGGAAGAAGGGACGGTGCCCTCCCCAGCATTGTAGCTCTGAGACAGCTTCACTTGGGACGGGGAAACCAGCTGCTGCTGCTGCTGCTGTGATGGCGGGGGCAGGGGCGGCGGGGGGGGCGAGGCGAGAGAGAGAGCATGGGAGGGGTGGGCGAGGGAGAGGAAGGGCAGGGAGGGGCCGAAGGCGGACTGGGACATGGAGCGCGATCGCCGCATGTGGTGCTGTGGGGGAGCAGGGGGGTGCTGGGGGGGGATGGCAGCCGTGGCGGGTGGAACAGGGACGTGCGCGGGGGATGAGGAGGACCGTGCCACTGCGGAGGGGGGAGCGGGGAAGGGGGCGTTGGGGGGCCAGCGGGGAGGTATGGGGGGCGCGCCTATACTGGCGGGTGCAGGGGGGAGTGGCGGCACTGACGCCTGCTGCTCCCCGTGCATCCACGCTCCGTGTGCTGCCATGCGCCCTCTGCTCCCCTCCTGCTCCTCCTGCTCCTCCTCCTGCTGCTGCTCCTGCCGCTGCTGCAGCTGCAGCTCCTGCTGCTGGTGGTGATGCTGCGACTGCTGCTGCCGCAATCCCGCCTGCTCCTGCCACATGTTCTGCTGCAGCCGCTGCTGCACCCACTGCGGCACCCCCCCTGCGCCATCCGCGGATGTGAACGACCTCGACCGCTCTAGCACCTCCCCGCTGCCATCTGCACCCCCACCCACCGCACCACAACCAGCACCACCAGCACCGCCAGCAGCATGGGAGGGGTCCCCAGGCGATCCGCTGCTCTGGGCGGCCAGCACGTCCCCAAACGCGCCCTGGCAGAGCGACTGGGAGCGCATGATGCGCCCCTGCGCGTTCCCCCGCGCCCTCAGCAGCCCCGGGATGAGCGCCGCCGCGTCTCTCCTCAGTGGCGCCAGCGGCCGCTCCAGCGCCGCGCCCCCCTGCCCCGGGGGGCGCGCAGGCGCGTTGCCCGGGCTGCTGGAGGCGGAGGAGGGGCGGTTGAGCGTGCGGGGGGAGCTGGAATTGGCCTTGCGGAACACCCTTCCACCCCCTGCGCCCCCTGCGCCCGCCACCCCGCCCTCCGCCCCTGCTTGGCCGCTCTGCTCCATCCGCCCTTCCCTGCCCCCCATTGCGCCATCGTCTAATGCGCCCTGCCTGTGCATCTGTTGCTCCGCGCCCACCCCCGCCTGCGCCCTCTGCTGCGCCTGTTGGCGCTGGTGAGGCGGCAGCCGCATGTGGTGCATGTGGGAGAGCGAGTGGCGGTGCACGTGCAGGGGGAAGGAGCGGCGGCGGTCAGAGGGGTGGGCGGGCGCGTGGGTGAAGGGCGCGTGCAGCGCGGAGGGGAGCGGGGGGTGCGCGGCAGTGGGGCTGCTGGCGGCGCTGGCAGCGAGGGGGTGGTGGGCGCGGGGGGTGTGCGCAGGGCTGGAGGAGACGGAGGAGCAGGGGGGGTGCGGGGGGTTGTTGAGGGGGGGCCGGCTGTTGGTGAGGGAGAGAGAGCGGAGCAAAGAAAGGGATGCAGGCAGCTGCTGCTGCTGCTGTTGTTGCTGTTGCTGTTGTTGCTGTTGCTGTAGCTGCTGATGCAGCTGCCGCTGCAGTTGCTGCAGCTGTTGCTGCTGCTGTTGCTGTTGCTGCTGCTGTTGTTGTTGCTGCTGCTGCTGCTGCTGTTGCTGCTGCTGTTGCTGCTGCTGTTGCCACTGCAGTTGCTGTTGCTGCTGCTGCTGCTGCTGCTCCTGTTGCTGTTGCTGTTGCTGTTGCTGTTGCTGTTGCTGTTGCTGTTGCTGTTGCTGTTGCTGTTGCCGCTGCAGTTGCTGTTGTTGCTGCTGCTGCTCCTGTTGCTGTTGTTGTTGTTGTTGTTGTTGTTGTTGTTGTTGTTGTTGTTGTTGTTGTTGTTGTTGTTGTTGTTGTTGTTGTTGTTGTTGCTGTTGCTGTCTCTGTTGCCAGTACTGTTGTTGCTGCCCCACACCACCAACACCCCTGCCCACCTCCCCACTCAAGCCGCCGCCCATGCCAGGCTCATACGCGCTCCCGTCTCGCGCCCGGCCCATCCATACGCCCTCCTGCCCATGCTCCTCTCTGTACCCCTCATCCCCATTGCTCTCCTCTCTCCCTTCCTCCCTGCCCTCCTCCCCCCGCTCCTCCCTCCCCTCCTCACTCCTCTCCTCACTCCCCTCCTCACTCCCCTCACTCCCCTCACTTCCCTCCGCACTCTCCTCCGCGCCACTCTCTCCCTCCTCCTCCTCTCCCTCCTCACCTTCCTCCTCCTCCTCTTCTTCCTCCTCCTCCTCCTCCTCCTCCTCCTCCTCCTCCTCCTCCTCCTCCTCCTCGTCCCCCTCGCGCCCCTCCCACGCGCTAGTGTCAGCGTCGGAGGTGGTATAACCGCGCGCATACCCATCAGAGTGCCACGCGGGTCCCGCGCCCCTATCGTCCTCCGCGTCCCCCTCGTCCCCCGTACCCCACGCCATCTGGATATCGCCACGCGGACCCTCTACGACCCCGAATCCACCTGAACCCCCCCTAAACGTCCCCCCATCCCGCTCCGCCTCCGCCGCTCCACCCGCCTCCGCGCGCTCCCCATCAAATAATCCCTCCGCCCCGCGCCACTCACCCCCTCGTCGCCCATCGTCGCAGCCCCCGTCGCCACGCGCCAAGCCCCGTGCGAAGCTCAGCTCTCTCGCACCTCCCACCACCCCGTCCTCCAACCGCTCCCCCCCATGCGCCCCGCGCCAATCCCCTGCCCCTCCCCTATCCACTCCGCCCCGCACATCCTCCGCCCCGCTCACCCCATCCCAGACCCCCCTCCCTTCCGCGGCGTGCGCGCGGGCGTCTTGCGCGCCCCAGGCGGCAGTTCTGTCGGGGCTATCCCACCCCCTGTCGCCTGCGGGTGCGCGCTGCTGCACGGCTCCTCCGTCTAACGAGCTGTCTATCGAGTGATCCACTAACGAGTGCTCGCTAAACGAATACTCCTCAAAAGGATGGTGATGTTCTTCAAACGGGCGGTGCCTATGCTCATCCTCATCCTCGTCGTCAGGATCATGCTCGTCCCCGATATAAGCAGGCCCGGGTTCGCTCCTAGACTGCAGTAGCCGAGGCGGGCTTTCGCTATAAGAACACTCAGGGGGGGAGCTACAGCTGACGTCATGGAACGCGAAGCTGTCAGCGCGTGCAGCGTCCGACAAATCAGGTTGCATCAGCCGCTCAAACTGACGGTCAAGCAAGTCGTGCGAGTCAACGCCGTGAAGCGCATCAGCATCAGCATCAGCAGCTGGGCCTGCTTGCGCCATGCCACCCCCCCTGCCCCTCCACCCGTCCGGTCCTGCGCCCCTCTCCATACCGCGTCTCTCCGCTCCCGCGTACGCCTCTCTCTCGCCCTCCATCGCCCCCTCTATCCGCAGCACCTGCGCTCCCCCGCCCCACTCCACTACGCTTCCGCTGTCCCCACCCCCGCTCCCAGCGCCACTGCTCACACTGCTGCCGCGGCTGCTGCGCCGCCGGCGACTCGAAGCCACTCCGCCTGCTCCCACCCGCACCTCCCCTTCCCACTGATGCTGCTGCTGCTGCGGCTGGTCGTAGGTGGGCGCAGCGGCAGCAGCGGCGGGGAGCGCGGGCGCGTCGGGCCAGCGCGTGGCCTTGAAGAGCTGCCAGCACGCGTTCGCCTCCGCCACCACGCGCATCACCGTGTCGAGGGACGCCGGCCGCCCGCCCTGCGCAAACACCGCCTGCGCCTTGGGGGCTGCGCGGGATGGAGACAGGGAAACGGTTGAAGATAGAGGGGGGAGGGTGGGGTGGAAAGAGCATGAGGATAGGAGGGTAACGGGCGTGTGGATCGATCATGCCATGTTAGTGCATGACCTGACACGATGGCACTACGCGCACGGCGACAGCACCAATCGCACCCGCTATTATCCCGACCCTGACTGACACACATGGAGCATGCAGATGCGGTGGATCTGGCACGCGCATGACACGGCTATTGCACTGCACACATGACTTATGGACCACGGAGCACAGGGCACGAACGACAGACCAACTATCGCACGACACGTGGAGACATCACAGCTCCCGAGTGGGTACCTCGTCCCGGCCTCGAGCGGTAGCGCGCGAGCCATGTGCGCAGGCGATCCGTGACCCCCGGGAAAAGCGACTCCACGTCGTCCAGGCCCGTCGCGCGCCCGAACAGCGGGTCGTCCCACGCTACCACCAGAACCTTCCACGAAAGCGCCCTGGTGAGCGGGTCGACGAGCCCAAACGCGCCGATGGGTCGCACCTCGTACACGTCGCCCACCTGTCGCACGCCGAACCCTAATTCGATCGCATCGAGCGGCTGGTTGTCGTTCGACAAGCCGGCAACTTCCGATGGGAATTCCTCGTTCGCTAGGGTCTGCGGCAGCAAGCCGAAGTGCCATGGAGATGGCTCTGACAGGCGCGAGAGGTTTCTGTTAACGAGGCGAGACTTTAACGGACTGAGACGTTCGGTTAACGAAATGGCCATGTCGTACGTGGAGCCACGTGGACAGAGGCAGACGAAGTGGAAACTGGCGGAAGAGGAGAATAGCGGCACGTCGTGCAGCGGAGACACCTCCGCACCCCACGCGTTCTTGAGAATGCATGTGTACAGCAGGTCCCCGGGATTGCCGATAGGCACCGGCATGAACTGACGGGACCGGAAACGAGGCTGCGCGTCCCTTTCCATTCTGTCCGTACGCTCCGTCAGAATATGTGCTTACGGTTGGCTGGTGACGGGTCAGCCACCCAGTCTTTCAAATAATTCACGCATTGCTTCAGATCGAAGAAGCAAAGCTCGCTTATTTTCGTGAATAAGTAGCACATAACTTATTAGTTAGTGAAGAGATTCTTGAGGGCCAATGACTCGCGGGTCCTTGGCCAGAATTACCTAAGTCATTGAAGGTGGTCGCGCAGAAACCCTAATTTACTCCTGGAAGAAATGGATGGGAGGGAATGCGGGAGTGTAGTGCCGGAGATGTGTGCGGGGCGTGACTGGCGGGAAAACGGAACGGACCCGCCACCCGACAGTTGACGGTGGCACTCTGCAGTAACGGGCAGCACACGAATTGTCCACCACAGTGCGTGGCAGACCCCCAGCCAACCAGGCCCAGCACGGGGCAGCAGAAACGAGACAATAGTGCATTCAACAGCATGTCTTCAAACGAAACATGTGTGACAGTCCGTCCGTACAGTCCCTCGTTCCTACCTGCGCGCATGGCGGGAGGACCTGCCCGCGCCAGCTTCACCTCACCTGCGCACTCCCTTGGGCTTCCGCAAATCTCGAAGAATATTGGTGCTGGTTCTGCCCCGTCTCAAGTCCAGTCACCACCTCGCGAGTTCGCGTAACGGAGAAGTTGTCTTCGCATGAAGGACATGCGAACACTCGTAGACTCAAATGTTACCATGTAGCCTCGCGAGGGTGTCAATCTGGATGACCCTTCGAACAAACCTCCACTTCTTTCAGCTCAACCACAACCACCACAATTTTCCAGGCGCATCTCTGGAAGTCTAGACTAAGAGGTTCCGACAATAGGCCGTCGTAACTCCACCAACATTGGTCGCTTACAGCAACCGACATGTTTAACTTCGGAAAGCCCTCGTATGCGCAACTAGGCGTGGAGGCGGCGCGCAAGCCGCAAGGGGATTCATGGGCGCGCGCGGAGGGCGATGTGGACAGCAATGGCGGCGCGAGCCAGGGCAAGGCGCCGGAGTCGTTCGCGGGGACGAGCTCTAACATGAGCGCTGAGAGCGGCCGCGTCCAGGTGCGCTTATCCGTTAGCCGCCGCTACTCGTTTATCGAAATGCGGTCAAATCCTGTGATTTTCCCGTTGCCTAACAAGATCTAATCTTCCCTCGTCGGTCCACATGGCTCCGCGTCCCCCGCCCGTTCTCACCCTCAGGTACCCATCGGCACGGTGTCCGAATCGCACAAGATGCCCGTCGCGCAGGCACTCGCGCTGCTCGCGTTCACGGCCGTCAATGTCGCCGCGCTCGTCGCCATCTTCTGGCTCGCGCTCTCTCTCGAGGGCACGGAACGCATCCTCGTTATAGCGCTCCTCGGCGGCGGATGGCTAGCGCTGCTGCTGTTCAACGTGCGCATGGCGGGGCGGCCGCGGCGCGTGATCCAACGGTTCCTGCACGCCAAGAGCAAGACGCGGCTGGGGCGGCGGCTGGGGCGCGGGCAGACCGTGGTGGTGCGCGGCGCCGTGTCGCTGCTGCACGAGGAGCTGCTCTCCACCGAGTTCCACAACGTGCCTGTGAGTACCGCTCTGTACGCGATATAAGGCTGCGAATTCAGCTCCCGCGTGTTCATAAGGCATGCCTTGCTCTCGCTTTTTTAGCCCCCATCGCTCCCGACCCTCCCCCTCCCCCCCTCTCTTCTCAATTTCGCGCTCGTCTTTCTAACCGACACACGCGCACGCTCATCCTCACCCGCGCGCGCGCACGCGGCGGACCGCAGGGGCTGGTGCTGGTGGAGAGCAGTCTGCGACCGTACTATCCGGGACTGCGCAAGGCGGACGCTTCTAGAATTCAACTCCGGCGTACTCATAAGACCGTCTTTTGTCATGCCTTGCTCTCGCTTTTTCAGCCCCCCTTTCCCTCGCCCGTTTCCCTCGCCTTCCCCTTCTAAATCCTGCGCTCGCTTTTTTAACCGACGCACGCGCACTCTCACCCCCCCCCCCCACCCGCGCGCGCATCCGGCGACGGCAGGGGCTGGTGCTGGTGGAGAGCAGCCTGCGGTCGTACTACCCGGGGCTGCGCAAGGCGGACGCGTGGACGGAGCACGTGCGGCAGACGCGCGCCGTGGACTTCCGGATCACGGACGGGCAGACGGGCATGAGCGCCATCGTCAAGGCCTTCCACGCCGCCGAGACGGGCGTCGCCACGCCCCTCGTGCACATCTCCACCGAGGTACCGCTCTCCACCGAGGACTCTCCCCCGTCCACGGGGGGCGCGGCGAGCGGGGAGGGGGGCGCGAGCGCGGAGGAGGAGAGGAAGAAGCGGCGCAAGGCGCTGTCGCCGCAGCTGATGGTGTGCAAGGGGTACATCCGCGCAGGGCAGACCATCACTGTCATGGGCGTGCTGACAGAGGAGGCTGGCACGCATGAGCTGCTCGTCCAGCCCATGCCGCAGCCGCGCAACATTGCCAAGCTGCTGCTGTTCCGCGGCTTCATCCCCTTCTTCTTCCCCACCTGGGCCTCGGGACTCGTTATCTCGGACCAACGTGATGTGGCGTGATGCGGTAGGGCCTCGTGTGGCGCAGCATCATGGTGTGGTGGTGATGTGGCAAAAGGGTTGTGCGCAGGAGGGATGAACACTTGGGATGGAGCGGTGTTGGTGACAGGTGTTGCGTGTTGTGAGATCATGCTGGTGGATGGAGGCCCGCTGGTCATGATCACACAGCAGTGCTGCATGACTGCGAAGCTTTGTATCGTACAACCCTTTACGGTACTCCTATTGTAGAGTGGTAGTGTTCTAGGGGGGATTGTAACAGCTTTCATTTGTTAGGTGTCTAATATACCTGAACACTGGAGGTACTGGCTTGCTGGATACGGTAATACACCCTATTCCTGGAAATTTATTCGGGGGTTTGGCCGTGCCTCTTTTGTTTTCCCCATACAAAATAACTGGGATGCGGAACTTGGTGCTTCTGAATATTACAAGAATGAATCATATACAAATCAAGTGGCCATATTACAGCTGGATGTCCTAAGCCGTCAAGAGGGTCATTTCTTGTGGCAAGGCAATACCGTGGGCACCTTCTGCGTTACTCTCCCCCCACCTCCTCAGCACAGGAAATGGTTAAATCAATGTATGCTTGTGGCGAGGGATGGGGAGGTTCAGATTGCGGGTGCTTGGGCGGATGGCGAAATGCTTGGATGAACAGCCTGCTGCATGTTGCTCTACTGAGAGTAGAGGGAAGGGAAGCGGCGAGCTCACAATTGAGCGCATCGCGCCTCGCCCCAGCGTCGTTTCCTTGTCGTGCTACATCACGACGCCTCGCCCCGAACTAGGAGCGCTGCAGCTGCGCGCATCCCTGCAGAAGCGTCTGAATTGCGTCTACCAGCTGCAGCCGCTGCTGCTGCCAAAACTCCTCCGTCTGCCCGCCCTGCGCCTCCTCCCCCGTCCCGCTCCCCACCACCTGCTCGTGCCCCCGCTCCTCCGTACCCGTCTCCTGCGCTGACTGCCACGTGTCCAGCGCTGTCGCCAGCGACGCGAAGCTGTCCACCCGGCGCCGCTTCGAACCCACAACTGGATCGGCCACGTGAGAGGCGGCGAGCGGGCCACTTGCGCAATCTTGCGACGCGGCCCATGGATCGGCGGCGCGGAGCGACGAGGTGCAAGCCGTGTCGTCTTCGTAATCGGCCTGCAAATCGCAGCTGCCGACGCTGCTGCAGGGAGACACGGGTTCTTCCGCCGACGCGGGTTCCTCCGCTGCGCTTGCTTTCCACGCGCCCGCCGCGCCCTGCCCCACGCCGTTCAGCAGAAGCACGAGGCCCAGCGCTGCTAACCGGCGGCTCACAGGCGCGGAGCTCAGCAGGCCCTGCAGCAGCACCTCCGTCTCCGCGTCGCCCCGCTCCCCGCGCGCTAATGCGCTGCGTCTCCGCACCGGGGGGCTGGGGGCAGTACCTTCCGTGGGGAAATGAGCGCTCGTTGGCGATGCGACGTGAACTGGCGTAGTTGGTTGGGGGAAGGGTGGTTGCGCGGAGGGCGGGGAATGCGGGGAGAAGTACGCGGGGATGGAGGTGGGGGAGGGGGAGCGATGTTTGGAGGAGGGCTCGAGGATGGGAAGCGCGGAAGGCTCGTGGGCGGAAGAGACGGGGCGCCATAAGTCTTGCGAGGCTGCTGCGGGGCTGCACGGGGGGGCGACGTGAAGCGCCGTCTTGCGACGAGTGGGTGGTCGCTGATCGTCCGCTTGCCATGCGGCGTCGCGTGTGCGATCAATGCGCGCATTCAAGTCCGCCGGCACTTGCTTGGTCCTGGCTGCGTGCTTCAACGACTCCATCCAGTCCCAGCTAAACGCCGCCATGGATTCTAAGTCGATAGACTAAGGGTGTTGGTTGAAATCGAAAAATGTACTCTGGGGGAGGTGCTATACCGGTGAAACTGAAAGTAGTTCGACCTGTTCGATAGTCACGCAGAACGGAAGCACGTCGATCGAATCTGCACTTAGAGAAACTTGACGGCGGCGAATTAGTCAATGGCATGACATTAGAGAGTGGGGTGGTTTGGTCGTGGTGATGGGAATGGCTTTCTCACCAGAACAGTGCAATCGGTGTGATGGGGTGGGGTGGATGGAGCAACGAGGAAGGGCGTGTATGACGTGGGCCAAGGCCTCGTTGCGGGCATGAAGCAGGACAAAGCGAGCGTAGCCCCGACCCGACCGATTCACCCATGGGCAGCTCTCTTCTCTTCCTCACCATTGGTTCGCTTTGCTGTGCGAGCGACTCGGGTCGCGGTGCGACTTTTGCGGGGTGTGTCTGCTTGTTGTGATACAGTACAGTACACGAGAAAAAACGGCAACAGAAGCAACTTCTGCATTTGATTGATGGTGGGCTGCTCACTTTCCTCGCGAAGGCTGCATTGCGAGCGACCTGCGCTGCTGCGACACTGAAGCATATTCGCAAAAGGAAACCAACCAAT